TTTTATTTTTCAATTGGAGTACTTAGTAGATTCATGCATCAACCAAAGAAAATGCACTCGCTAGCTGCAAAAAGGGTGCAAAGATATCTTAAGGGAGCATTAGATTTTAGAGTATTGTTTCTTAAAATCAACAAGATGCAAGATGAATTGATTGGCTGGTCAGATTCTGACTGGTGTGGTGATGATAGTGATAGGAGGAACATTAACGGCTTCAAGTTCAAATTTATGGGAGAACCAATATCTTGGTGTAGCAAAAAGCAAAATGTTGTAGCATTATCTACTTATGACACAAAATTTATAGCTGGTTAAAAATAAAAGACTTATCCAACTGTTTGTTGATAATTAATCTACACTAAATTTGACTAATAATCTTATGTCACATTGTAGAAGCAAACACATAGAAAGTATATTTCAATTTAGGGAATAAGTTAACAATGAAAAGTTATAACTAATCTATTATCCTACTCAACTATAATTGGCTGATGTTTTTACAAAACCCATAAAAAAGGAAAAATTAGAAATCTAAAGACTTGAGTTATATTTGAGTACTTGAATGAGAGAAAAATAATGTATTAATTCAAGTATTTTTTTGGTTCTATACATTCTGATTTGAGTTCTTTTGTTGACTTTATACATACGAATCATTAACTCTTTTCACCAGCAAGCGTGAAAATAAAGAGTGAGACATTTTTCATCATCTGTGATATATTTCCCTGATCTCTCTTCCCATCCCGTGTTCTCTCTTCCAAACTACCACATGGAACCCTCTTGCACACCCCAACAAGTTTTTTTTTTCTTTTTCTACGTTAGTATTGTTTGAAATCGATGAGATCTTTTGTGCTAAGTCAAGCAAAATATCCCCCAAAAATCTACGTTTATCTTAATCAAAGTCAGTCATTCAATCGTTTATCAAATACAGTCAATTCCAATGAAGACCCAACAGGTATCGGTTGACTTCTTCACAAGCTTCCAGTATTTCTTCCGTATAGGAAAAGGGCACTGTTCCAAGCCATTGTCATAACCTGCGATTGAAATTACTCATTTCAATTCATCCACTTCCTTCTCTATTCCTACAATGGCAGCAGCATGCGTTGGTGGTGCACTTCTTTCTGCTTTCCTGCAGGTTGCATTTGACAGGCTAGCTTCTCCTAAGGTTCTACACTTCTTTCGTCGAAGGAAGCTCGATGAAGCACTGCTCAGTAAATTGAACATCAAAATGTTGTCCATCAATTCTCTTGCTGATGATGCAGAACAAATGCAGTTCCGAGATACACGGGTCAAGGCATGGCTTTTTGCTGTCAAAGATGCTGTGCTTGACGCAGAGGACCTCTTGGATGAAATAGACTATGAACTCACCAAATGTGAAGTGGAAGCTCAGTCTGAATCTCAAAGCCTTAGTAACAAGGTATCAAGTTTCTTCCATTCTACTTTCAGTTCATTTAACAGGAAAATTGACTCAGGCTTGAAACAAGTCCTCGAGAAGCTAGAATATCTCGCGAGCCAAAAGGATTATCTTGGTTTGAAAGAGGCTACTTATTCTGGTCTTCGACCAGGCAGTGTAGTGCAACAAAAATTGGCATCAACTTCCTTGGTGGCTGAAAATGTTATTTATGGAAGAGATTATGACAAAGAAACTATCTTTAATTGGATCACATATGAAACTGACAATCGTAACCAGTTATCAATACTTTCTATTGTGGGCATGGGTGGAGTGGGTAAGACCACACTTGCCCAACATGTGTACAATGACCCAAGGATGGAGGAGGCTGATTTTAGCATCAAAGCTTGGGTTTGCGTTTCAGATGATTTTGATGTTATGGTGGTGACAAGTACAATTCTTGAGGCAATCACTAAATCCAAAGATGATAGTAGAAACCTAGAAATGGCTCATGGAAGACTGAAAGAAAAACTGTCGGGGAAAAAGTTCTTTCTCGTTTTGGATGATGTGTGGAATGAAAGACGAGAGAAATGGGAAGCTGTGCAAACTCCTCTTAATTTTGGAGCATCCGGAAGTAAAATTCTTGTAACAACACGTAGTGAGAAAGTTGCTTCTACAATGCGGTCAAGTAAAGTGCATCGCCTAATGCACTTACAAGAAGATCATTGCTGGGATGTTTTTGCAAAACATGCACTCCAAGATGATCATCCTCAATTGAATGCCGAGCTGAAGGATATTGGCATAAAGATAGTTAAAAAGTGTAAAGGATTACCTCTAGCCCTGAAAGCAATTGGAAGTCTTCTGCACACAAAGTCATTGTTTTCGGAATGGCAATGTGTATTGGTAAGCAAGATATGGGACACGCCAATAGAAGAGAATGAAATTATGCCTGCTCTTTTACTGAGCTATCATCACCTTCCTTCGCATCTCAAGAGATGTTTTGCTTATTTTGCTTTGTTTCCCAAAGATTACAAGTTTGACAAGCAGAGTATAATTCTGTTATGGATAGCTGAAAATTTTCTAGAATGCCCCCAACATAATAAGAGTCCAGAAGAAATTGGTGAATTGTACTTTGATGATCTTTTATCAAGGTCTTTCTTTCAACAGTCAAGTGGATTGGAATCATGTTTTGTCATGCATGACCTTCTCAACGATTTGGCAAAATATGTTTGTGGAGATATATGCTTCAACTTAGAAGTTGATAAAGCACTGTGTATACCAAAAATGGCTCGTCATTTTTCATTTGCAATCAAAGACATCAAGTATTTTGACAGTTTACATGATGCGAAAAGGTTACGAACATTTATTCCACTTCCTGCTTATGTGAGAGTGTCCTCTTTAAACGATCCATGGCAATGCAAGATTCCAGTTCATGAGTTGTTCTCCAAGTTTAAGTTCATACACACCTTATCTTTGCTATGTTGTTCTGGCCTCCTAGAGGTGCCTGACTCAATAGGTGATCTTAAACATCTACGTTCTTTAGACCTTTCCAGGACTGACATAAGAAAACTACCCGATTCAAGTTGTTTGCTCTACAACTTGCAAATACTAAAGTTGAACTTTTGTCTCCTTTTGAAGGAGTTGCCTTCGAATTTGTACAAACTCAACAATTTACGTTGCCTTGAATTTATAGCTACTTCAGTGAGAAAGGTGCCAATGCATATGGGGAAGATGAAGAATCTCCAAGTACTGAGTTCGTTCTATGTTGGCAAAAGTAATGAATTCGGTATTCAACAGCTCGTAGGACTCAATCTTCATGGAGGGCTATCTATTGGTGATATGCAGAATATTGTGAATCCCTTGGATGCTTTACAAGTAGATTTGAAAAATAAAAAGCACCTTGTAAAGCTAGAGTTGGAATGGAATTCACACCATATCCCAGACAATCCAAGGAATGAAAAACAAGTACTCGAGTATCTACAACCTCCCAAACACTTAAAGAATTTCTCAATCAATCACTATGGTGGTACACAGTTTCCAAGTTGGTTATTTGATAATACCTTATCAAACTTGGTGTCATTAAGCTTGATAGGCTGTAAGTTTTGCCTGCATTTGCCTCCCCTCGGGCTTTTGCCATTTCTCAAGCAGCTGGTGATTATAGAGCTTGATGGGATAGTGGGTGTTGGTGCTGAGTTCCATGGGAGTAGCTCGTCTTCATTTACATGCTTGGAAACATTGTACTTCTTTAATATGAAGGAGTGGGAAGAATGGGATTGTGAAACTGATTTCCCACGTCTTCAACATCTTTCTATAATACATTGCCCCAAGCTCAAAGGGCTGCCAAAGCAACTTCTTCACGTAAAGCAAATAATTATCTGTGAATGTGAAACGTTGACCATTAGCGGACACAACATGGAATCATCAACCCTGGAAAGGATTGGGGATACCATAACTAATAATTCTCTTGAAGTGTTGCACATTTATTCTTGTCTGTCCATGAATATTCCATTGAGACTTTGCTACAATTTACTTGTAACACTGGAGATAGATGGAGCCTTTGACACTCCAATTACCTTTCCTCTAGATTTCTTCCCAAAACTCTTTTCACTCAAACTCGGGTGTTGTAATCTGCAAATGATTTCACAAGATCACACTCATAATCATCTCAAGGATTTGTGTATCAGCAACTCACCACAATTTGAATCATTTCCCATGGAAGGATTATCTGCCCCCAGGCTGGTAAAATTTAGTATTAAAGAATTGATGAACTTGAAATTATTGCCCAAACGCATGGATATCCTCCTTCCATCTCTTACAGACTTACAAATATTAGATTGTCCACAAGTGGAGTTGTTCTCTGATGGAGGTTTTCCATCAAATCTAAATACCATGGATCTCTCAGACTGCTCCAAATTTATGGCCTCAATGAAAATGGCTTTAGGAGCCAACAATTCTCTAGAAGTGTTGTCTGTTCGAAAATTGAATGTGGAGTCTTTTCCTGATGAAGGTTTCTTGCCTTTCTCTCTTACTTGTTTAGAAATCAGGAACTGTTCAGATCTAAAAAACCTTGACTACAAGGGTCTCTGTCACCTCTCCTCTCTTCAGAAATTGTTGTTGTTTAACTGCTCCAACCTCCAATGTTTACCAGAGGAGGGTTTGCCCAATTCCATTTTAGAACTTAAAATTGTTGGTTGTCCATTGCTTGAGCAGTGTCAAGACTATAAGACTGGGAATTGATTGCTCACGTTGAAAACGTATTCATTGGAGCTGAGCTATGAACTCCAAGTTTGAAATCACACATCAGGTATTGAAATTACATGCGTTTGAACCTTTGAACCTTTTTTAAATACAATCTTAGCTATTGCAATTTGCAAATATTGCCCAAGTACCAACAAAAGCGTTTCAACCAAATATTCCTGTTGTCCACAAGGATAATTTCTTTTTTTAATCTTTCAATTACATGCAAAATTTCTATTTTCAATATTCAGTATTGAAATTGAATTCCAAGCAAATGTCTTTACTTAGGACATTTATGAAGTACAAACCTTAGGGCATGTAGCGTCGACTTAAGAAAAATAAATGTTATGAATAGCTTCTTTAATGAATTTCAAATACTATAGATATTAAGAAACATATCCAAAATTTGAGCAACCCTTTCACAATCTAATGATAACAATTTAGAACTTAATGAAAGTGTGATGCAAGGAATCATGGACAGCCAATCATTAGGGATTAAAGCTGAAAATTTTGACTTGTCCCAGAGACTCAAGTTATTGGTTGCATACCCAACAAAGGAAAAGATATTCGACTACCCTTAATGACAATTCATCTTTTTCAACTTCTTTAATATGATCTACCTATTTCACTTAGAAAAGGAAAATGGTATTGTACCAAATATCTTTTTTATCTTCAATTTGTCTCCACTGAACATATTAATGTGTAGTGCCAAAGTTTTATTTTTGTTATTAATGCAGTTAGAATATCTACTACAGTTCAATAATCATTGAAAGATAAAAATTGAATGAAGAGATGAGGGTCTTGAAAAAGAATCAAACTTGAGAAGTTGTTGACAAACCACACAAGATAAAAATATTATGGGATGCAAGTGGATTTACATTGTGAAATATTAGTCTGATGGCACATATTATTACAAAGCAAGGGTAATTTGAAAAGGATATAGTTATATATATATATATATATAT